TTTGCTTGTCTGCATCATGTCTAACGGAGTTGCCCAATCGGCCGAGGAGGCCTTGTATAAGCCCTACGACCAGTTTATCCTATTTGGAGACTCCATTACGCAAATGTCTTCGGATCAGAGTATGGGGTTTGGTTTTCAGCCCGCTCTCCAGGATGGTAAGGTTTCCCCTGTCTGTATGGCATGCTACTTGGATCTATTTTCGATGCTAATTCTTTACAGCCTACAGCCGCCGCTTGGATGTGATCAACCGTGGCTTCGGGTATGCGTCTGACAACTTGCAGCTTGCATAGATGCGTGCACTGACTCCTGCATAGTGGTTATAGCACCGCGCATGCGGTCAAGGTCTTTCCCAAGTTCTTCCCCAAACCAGAGGCGGCTACTGTTCGGTTTATGGTATGGCGCCCTACTCGCCGAAGTAGTAGGCATGATTCTGAACGTTCTAGACAATATTTTTCGGAGCAAATGATGCGGCCGTCCCTGGACACTACCAGCACGTCCCAGTGGAGACTTACAAAGAGAATCTGAAGAAGATCATCCAGCACCCGGCGACAATTGCTCAGAACCCAAGGATACTGATCCTGACCCCGCCACCGGTGAACGAATACCAACTGGAAGAATTCGATATCGCAAAGGATACACCTCATCCCAGCAGGACAGTCAAGCAGACCAAGCTGTATTCGGAGGCCGCCCGCGAGGTCGCCGCCTCGCTAGGAGTTGCGGTGGTAGATCTCTGGACTGCGTTTATGACTGCCGCTGGTTGGAAAGAGGGAGAGCCACTGATCGGCTCCAGGGATGCCCCTAATAATGAGAAGCTGCAGAGTTTCTTCACGGATGGTTCGATCCCAGTTTTCGTTCATATGGGGCTCGTGCTGACTGTGATATGTTACAGGACTGCATTTTACCGGCGATGGGTATCGACTCATGTATGAGGAAGTGATGAAGACTATCATAGCCAAGTGGCCTGATCAAGCCCCCGAGGCGCTCGAGATGGTCTTTCCTGCGTGGATGGAAGCTCCCAAATGATGTCGTTGCAATGATCTCCTGGAATCGATCCGTGGTCAACGTACACTAAAGCTGACACGATCAGTAGAAATGCACATTATCAAATATAAACATAAATATTCTTATAGCAATGATTGATCACAGATAATTGGGGAGTGTGATCAAATGTCAGAAGCGCTGGCATGGACTGTGCACGCTGTAGGAGAATAAAAGCGGTCTAGATCGTTGCCGGTTTAAGTGATGAACGGCGGACTTGTGATCCCCTCACTGCCCACGTCCCTTTGCTTTGTTACTCCGTCATCATCAGTCGTCTATCCATAACACACCTCGTGCTCTGAGACGCATATATCTTTCGAGATAAAACCTGTATATCATCATCGAGATTCTCGGAGTCCCCTACAACTTCCTTTCTCGCCAATCCAAGCCCTCGCTGGAAACACGCGTTTCTCTCCAACACCCAACTACCCCGTTTTGCCTGCGAGAACCCCAATTCAACCGTAGATCCCAACCGTGAAAAACCGACAATTCGCCCTAATCGTCTTAAAATAGAATCAAAGACCCTTCGAAAGTCACCTTGCTAATTGCTTAACCATTGACTGTGCCATTGCCTACACAGTATTCCTTCCGCTATCTCTTTCTGTCGGATTCCACGCCGCCCGCTTGACCACATCACAATCCGTCTTTATACCGTACAGAACCCGTGGCCCACCTGTATGTTCTGACAAGTGATACACGAAAATCAGATACTAGCAGCTAGGTGGACGGCCTTACGGCCGTCTCACAGCATACGAGGGAGGAGGAGTCCGAGGATTAAGCCAGCTGCCAGTTGACACTACCTGGACCCAAGATAGGGAACTGAGCAGTATTGCAGACGATATACGAAGCCTTGGTGTTAGTAAGGAAGCTTGTGATTTCAGGATTCGGTCTTTTCTCTCTGCGTGAACCGTCTGTCGCCTTTCGCCGCTTGTGGAAGACCTCTTCATTCCGGTTTCCATCCGTGTGGACATGGACGCTCAGTATCCTTTTGCTTCGCGCGACGACATTTGGCGCGTCTTTGAGGAGTTGAAGGAACTTCACGCTGCGCAGTTTGAGCAGGCGGAGCGGATTGCACGACTGGAAAGACGGAGGGATGAGGATGCGAGGCTGAGAAGTGTTTGGGGTCCTTTGTCACCGTTTCCTACTTCTATCGGGGGTACCATTTCAACAGGTGCGTTTCTCGCCTTCTATGCTTAGGGTACCATAGCAGATATTAATTGTTTTACTCCAAAGATCCAGTCTTTCACGCCCCTGCTGACGCCTTTAAAGGGTTCGATCAGGGCCAGCACTCCGGAATGGCGAATCCAATGGGTCTCGAGAGCGAAGACGAACCGAGAAGAGGGACATCCAGAGCGAATAGTGTCCGGTTCGATGAAAGTGCTATTCATGGTTACTATGGGCAAGCCAGCCGATCTACCAGCGAGCTGCCGCTGAGGACTGGGAGCGGCATGGGAAGCCATCCACTCACCGAACGCTCACTGTCCCACCGGTCTGATGGCCGACAGAGCTCTTCAGGGCATTCACATCACTCGGCTCGGACGAATAGTTTAGGGCTGGAGACGACCAGTCGCATAATGGGCTCGTCCGTCGGCGGCTCTCCTCTGATACCCCCGCCGGGTCTATTCCTCCTCGGACCCGTGCCGTGTGTCATTCGATGTTGGTTGACGACGAATTTCTCAAATGACTCGCTTCTGTATGCTGCTGCCTGTTCCGGATCGTATGCCTCGACGCTTGGGTATCCGATGGTGCAGAAACTCGGCTTGGAAGATCTTGTAACCCAGGAGGATGGCGTACGGTTCATCAAACTTCCGATGTATCTCCCGGAGGCCAGCGTTCACCAGGCGTCGTCTCGTCCCAATAGCCCGGTTCCTCAGCTTCCCACCCTGACTATCCGCTTTCTTGTTCGGGATACGGATCCCAACGATCGTTCCATTCAGATTATCCTTGGAAGTGATATTCTTCGCTCCCATAATGCGGACATTTTGTTCTCTCAGGACAAGATCATCATGGTAGATGACGAAAGGAACAAGATTTCCATTCCCCTAGTGCGGCCGGAGGATGACTCTGTCTTCAAGTCTCTCTGCACTGCATCAGATTGCTCGCGCCTTGAACGCTCGACAAGGCAGGCTTTGGAAAAGGGGCCGACAGATGTGAGCGGCGATTCTGGAGTTGGGGTCATCGGAGAGCCGAGTCGATCGCGACGATCTACCTCTGCGTCTACCACCGCAAGGGCATCCACCGAAGAGCCAGATGAAGGTCGAAAGACCCATTCATCGGATTCTCACGACGTGTCTCCAGTTGCTGAAGCTCAAGAAGATCCAGGCAAGTCCACCTCTGCCATTGACTTTCCGGCCAACGAAGCCGCCAAGCCTGAAACTGCAGGTGTCTGGAGTGCATGGAGGCGGGAGACGAAAATCGACCCGGCATCGTCCGGCGCGAGCAAGCCATCTCGGGGCCGTACGATGAAAGTTCTACGGCCGACCAAGTCTTCTACACGGGTGCCAACAGCGTCAAGCGGGGCCGGTACTGACGCCGCGGCGTCTCCTCAACCGACGTCCTCCCGAGCGTCGCCAGACGAAAGCCGGGCTGGCAAACAGTTTGCTCCGAATCCTATTGGCGGGGCTTCTGCGTTTGGCTGGCTTAATTCATCCCAGCCGCCTAAACGCGTTGTAACAATGCCTAAATGAACTATATCAGGAATGGACGAAGGGAAATGGCGTTTTGGAACATGGATTGAAAGGTCCGTATGTAGACAAAATGAGTCAACCACTAGCAATCAATTATATATCTTTAGGCACAGGCAGCCTCGCCTCCTGATCACGTCCATTCATACACACACCCAGACACGCTAGGAGAAGAAAAAAAGAGATCAAATCTTCGAAAACACCTCCATCGCCTCCCTCGTCTCCTCCTTCATCTCCCTCACCAACCCACTAACAGCCTTGAACTCCGCCCTGCCCGCATCCCCCAATATCTCAAACAAAATTCCCTCACTACTCGTCACAATCGCCCCGGCATCCCGCAGCCGCGCAAGTGCCACCCCCCTCTCCTCCTTATTCATGCTACTCACTCCATCCACAATCACATACACTCTATGCCCGCGCTCCAGCAAATCCAGCGTCGTCTGCGTAATGCAGATATGCGTCTCTATACCCACAATGATAACATCCAGCGGCGTCTCCCCGCCCTTTGCATTCGGCAACAGCGCATCGAGTTCCGGTGTGATCATCGAGAAAAGCGTCTTGTCGATGTTGGCGCGCACAAGCGGCGTGGAGAGGTAGGGGTGGAGTTCGGAGACGACGTCGCCTAGTCGCGGACGGTTCTGCGTCGTCACGTAGATGGGGATGTTGAGTGCTGAGGAGGCTTTGAGGAGTTTGGTGGTTGTTGTTATCCTGCTCTGTCAGTTTGGGTTGGCATGTGGGGGAGGGAATGTCGTACAGTTTCGGGAACTCGTAGATGGCGCGAAATTTCTCTTGGAGGTCGCAGATGCTGTTTGTACTATGAGTACGGGTTATTCTAATCAGTCAGGGGATGGGGGCGTACAATAAGGCCGGGTTGCCTAGTATCCTTTGGTTAGCATTTGAGAATGTTAGTTGGGACGAGAGACGTACGGATCCGGCAGGCTCGTGAGATGGCTGCCATTGTAATTTGCTTAGTGTATTTCCGAGTGTCTTTGCAAGCTGGATGGTTGAGAATGACAATTGCTTTGGGAACTGCAGGCGGGATGGAATGAACCGTGAGATAAGAAAAAAGTATGAGGCCGTTGTTTCTTGCTGCGGAGGAAGATGGCGGGGAATTTCGGACCAGTGCGGGGAAGCTTTTCGCCCGAGAAATCAGGCTTCAAGGGGAACAGTTCTAGGTAGTTATCTCCGAGTAAGTCAGTCAACTGAATTCAATTCAAATATCACAGCTTTTATTAACGGGTATACGGTATACATCGTCTATATACACTATGTTTTATGCTATAGTTTGATCTCTTGAATCTTTGCCCGCCCGGAGAACCAGCTGTCGTCACCCTTTAGAGCTGCTTGCCGGATGGCGTACAGCTCGTCCAGGAACGCCGGGACGAAGCTTCCCGGTCCCCGGACGTAGTCCTTTGACGCGGCGTTCTCCGCCGCAATCTCATACATCAGGAGACCTGACAGAACGGCCAGGAGCTTGTCGGAGGGGTGTGTAGCCAGGAAGCAGCCAGATACCATTCCCACGGCACAGCCAGTCTGTACGACGAGTTAGCAAGAGATTGAAGAAAGGAAAGTATTAGACGTACGCCGGTAACTTGTCCAAGGAATTCATGGCCATTCTCGACAGTGATCACTCGCTCGCCGTCACTTAGGTAATCGACAGCGCCGGTCAAAAGGACAACGTTTCCTATCAGGGTTAGCAACTGGATCTCAATTGAAGAACGGTGCAGCGTACGCTCTCTTCGGGCTAGGTCGCGGGCCAATTTGGCCTTCTCTTGTCCGTCAAGAGTGCTTGGTCCGCTGTCCACGCCGCGCTGGACTGCATTGCTGCTTCCTGACACCTGTCTAATCTCTCCCTCGTTTCCTTTGATAAGATCAAAGTAGCCCCCGCTCATAAGCTCCTTTACAGCCCCGCGCCGGACCTGGGTCGCAGCAGCGCCGACGGGGTCGTAGACCACAGGATTTCCGCGCTCGTTGTATGACTTGATCGCTTGGAGGTAGTTTGGTATACTTTCGCGCGACAAGGTTCCCATGTTGATGACAAGAGCTCCGTCGAATTTGGCCAGGTCAACTGCTTCTTCGCCGTATGGTGACATGATGGGGGAAGCGCCCCTGGAAGCTGGTTAGATAAATGAACTGTGATTCAAAGGCAGACGTACATTGCGAGAGCAACATTGGCAACAAAATTGGCCACAACGTAGTTGATCATGTTATGGACCAATGGGTGTGCCTTGACCATCTTCTGAACGATTTGAGGCACCTCCTCGACCAATGCTGCCGCTTCATTCACTCTAGGTGCCCTGGGTTCCCATGCGAAGCTGGGTGGGCTGTTGATACGTTGGACAAATTCCTCGGCCGCAGCGCGCGGGTCATCTGCTGCCATGATGGCACTGACGATAGCGACGCCGTCCAGTCCCTTTCGGGGGGCTTTGGACTGGTACATCACACGCTGCACGTTTGAGAGGTTAATACCGCCGATAGCGACAGTCCCAACATTTCGACCCGAGCCGGAAATAGCGTCAAGGATCGCCTGAGTGCCTGCTGTTCCGAGGATGTGTTTCGTGTTTGTTTTACTAGCAACTCAGATTAATCATGGCACGGTCATCCATGGATCATCCGTCCAAATGGCAACTTACGTCGGCGTTGCGAACATGGTTCCGATACCCAGGTAATCGGCACCCGCCTCGATGGCTCGCTGGGCCTCTTCGACGGAAGACGCACTGATTCCGATGATAGCATCTTTGGGAAGCAGATTTTTCGCCTCCTCGATGTCTGTACCAATCGTATCAGTAAGGATCAGTCGCGGTCACCTGAGGCCATGGGTCGTACACATATCGTCTTGCCCAAGATGGACGCCTTCTGCTCCAACGGCGAGGGCGACATCTACGCGATCGTTGATTAACAGTGGGACTCCATAAGCTTTGGTGACCTTGTGCAGCTTTTTAGCCGTTTGAATCAAGTCCCCTGTGTCGCTTGTTTTGTCTCTATATTGCACAAGAGTCACACCTGACGCCACACATTAGCACAAGAAATTGGTGTGCGAGACAAGTGTGACATTGACCGACCTCCTTTCAAGGCTTCTTCTACCACAGTACACAGATCCCGGCCTTTAAGAATGGCTGGGGTCGAATCTGTGACTAGGTATACTGATAGGTCTAAAGGCATTTTCTGTTGCCGTTGTCAGCATATGACTGACCCAGAAGTTTGGGGCAGGAGGGGTCGAAGTTAATACGAGATCAAATGTATCCGAGAGCAGAAAGTTGTGCAGGTAGAAGCATACTTACCCAAAGTAACTTTTATGCGGATGATCCACAATAATATGGAATCGCTGGTGTAGGCTCTCCCGTGGTCCAAATCAGAGGACTCAGAAGAGTCAGAGGAAGCATCAAATGACGTTGGAAGCGTGTGGGGACACCCGGTGAGGTTAAACTCATGGATTAGGATTGTATTTGGCCACGAGAGCTGCTCCTGACAAATAATTTTATTTTATTCTAAAGCTACATTGACGCTGAGTATCGTCCATGATAGCTGCTTACTGATCTCAATGGAATAAGCTGTATACACATGGCCCCTCTGGCTGATACAAATATAGAGGAGTAACACAACCACAGAACAACAGCCTTGCCATAGAGTCATAAACTGGTAGTTAAAAAATCTGCAAATGATGAAGAGACCTAGTATAATCCCTCTTTAGTCCACATATCGCTGTTATACACTCTGTATAGTGATGGAACGTCCTGTTCTGCCCTGAGGGAGAGTGAGACATTGATCATGTGACCATGCATCAAGATGAGAGGGAAACACGTGCCCTCGGAAGAGGCATCCCGGTGATCCGGAAGAGGCAAGGCAACAGTGCTGAGTCAGCAGCCCTGAAATTTTCTCAGCGGGTCTTGGCACTTCGGCTCCGAGCCTTTCTTTCTGTTTGGCCCTCATCTTCTTTCCTCGTTTCCGCTTTCTTTCTTTCTTCTTCTCACTCACTCTCGCACACACTCTCAACTCATCTCATCCATCTGCATCTTCTGCATCATCTAATTCAACCGGCTTTCAACGCTGTTTATCTCGTCGAATCTACACGATTCAGCTGTTAAACGTATCCGAGTTTTTCAGCTCTCGTTTTGATCGAAGAAAAGCCACTCTGGTTAGTTTCTTGATACGGTCTTTCGTCAACCGTCCGCCACCACGAGTTCGAGGTCTGACTTTAGTTGCCTCTCACTTTCCAGAAGAACCATCCGTTGGTTTCTTTCCCAACTACCGGAGAAAGCCACTCAAAGAAAAGAGTCGGTCGCGAACTTGTCTATGTATTCGTCCTGCGTCAGAGATTTCGAACACCACCTGCCGCTCAAGCTGCAACAGTTTCGCTCCGAGCTGAAACCTTGTAGTATACATTCAAAGTCCTGTGGCTGAATCCCAGGCTTGCACTATCTGCTGTGTGAAATCGTTTAGTTGAAACGATTCTTAACTCTCCACCATCCACTACTTTTCAAAAGTCGAGGAACTCGCTACGCATGTCTTGTCTTTTCAAGATATCACTGGTCCATAATCCCTCCCGCTTCGTTTTCAAGCAGCTCGTTCTCACCGTTTCGTGAAAAAAATAATCATCCTCAACAACCGTCAAAATGGCTACCGTCAACATTCGTCGTGATGTCACCGATCCTTTCTATCGTTACAAGATGGAGCGCCTCCAGTCCAAGATTGAAGGCAAGGGTAACGGTATCAAGACTGTGGTCGTCAACCTGAACTCGGTCGCTCAGTCTTTGAGCCGTCCTCCGTCCTATGTGATCAAGTACTTCGGATTTGAACTCGGTGCTCAGGCTAACGCCAAGCCCACCGATGATCGCTGGATTATCAACGGCGCCCATGATGCTGCCAAGCTCCAGGATTACCTCGATGGCTTCATCTCCAAGTTTGTGCTTTGCAAGAAATGTAAGAATCCTGAAACGGATGTCATCATCAAGGACGATAAGATCATCCTTGACTGCAAGGCCTGTGGTCAGCGCACCGATGTTGATCCCCGTTTGAAGCTGAGCACCTTCATTCTCCGCGACCGTGCTTCTACCAAGGGAGGGAAGAAGGACAAGGCCGCCAGAAGGGCTCGCAGGAACAAGAAGGCCGAGGAGGGTGCCAACGGTGACAATGTCAGCCCTGGAGACAGCAACTCCGACAACGGTGAAGTCGAGGATCTTGCCTTGGAAGCCAACAGCGATGATGAACTCACTCGCCGTATTAAGGCCGAGGCTCAGGCCCTCGCGGCCGAGAAAGACATAGAAGACGACGAATGGGCTGTGGACGTTTCTGAGGAGGCCGTCAAGGCTCGTGCCAAGGAGCTGCCTGACGACTTGAAGCGTTCCCTCGTCCTTGAGGATGCCGATGAAGACGGAGAGCCTGATGGACCGTCTGCTTACGATCTGCTTGGCAGCTGGATTCTTGAGAGCGCATCTGAAAAGGGCGATGTCACTGCCGTGAGCGATGTCGATATCTACAAGAAGGCCAAGGAGTTCGGCATTGAGAACAAGCACAAGACTGTTGCCGTCCTTGCCCAAACCATCTTCGACGAGAAGATTGTCAAGCAGATTCCCTCCCGCGCTGCTTTCCTGAAGAAGATGATCACTTCTGAGCGCCACGAGAAGGCCTTCCTCGGCGGTACCGAGCGTTTTCTTGGCAAGGATCACCCTGAGCTGATCTCTCTGGTTCCCGCCGTCCTCCTGGGTTATTACCAGCACGACCTTGTCTCCGAGGACGTGCTGAAGGCATGGGGTGCCAAGGCCAGCAAGAAGTACGTCGACCTGTCGACCAGCAAGAAGGTTCGCAAGGCTGCTGAGCCCTTCCTTGACTGGCTTGAGAATGCTGAGAGCGATGACGAGGAAAGCGAGGATGACGAGTAGATGGTAAATCGGCTACTCGGTTTATGAAGTTCGGGATGTCTTCGGAACTTGCTTTTTCTACACAATGCGCTAATTTCGGTCATTACCTTGCTATATCCACACTCATTCAGTTGACAGAGTGCACACGAATCGTGTCTTAAACAGTTTCGTTGATTTGAGGTGAATCTGATTGCTTGCATCACTACCTCTCAATGAATAACAGATATCTCTCCTCAATATTCCTCTCTTCTGTAGGTTCCATTTGTAGAATAATCCCGCTGTAGACTACCTCACATTGTAGACTACTCACGCCGACAGCACGCATTGCACTGGTGCAATCTGGCCGTAGGGGCGTCACATAGATTTGTTCCTGGAGGGAAAGTTGTCTACTCCGTACATATGTCCGCTATTCATAAAAATCAGAACACCACCGGGGTGAATCTCAACCGGTTTGCCAACGAAGACCAAGACTCCAATGGATTCTCCGGAATCTCGCAGATCATAGACACGCCATCACCCGCCTTGCTTCTAGTCGACGTCGCGATTGCCTGCGCCTTTCGCTGCTGGAAGATGAACCAAGTCAGATCCGCATTCCAGGTCTCCATGGCCTGAATGGCGGTCTCGACGGGTTCCAGCTCTGCACGTTGCGCAGCCGGTATGTCCGAGGCTGAAGTAGCATCTTGTAGATGGAATTGGGTGTAGTAGTTCGGGCCGACGTAGAGGGTTATCCAGTCGGCTAGGAACTCGCATATTTGGTCGCCCGTGGACAGCGGGAGACGGACGTGAGTGAGGAGTGTGATGAATAGGGAGATCAGGGCGCGCCAGAGGGTATGGTGTGGTGTGAAGGCGCGAGCGCCAGTGGTAGAACTGGAACTGGAGCTGGAGCCGGGTATGACTAGCGATAGAGAGTGAGACAGAGGTAATGAGAGTTGGATTTCTGCTGGTGTGTGTGTCTCGGATGAGTGTGTGTTGCTGGATTGGTGGTGAGCGCGACGCTCGAGTGCCTTCTCTGCATCTTGACGCACTTTGTCCCATGTGCGGCGATAGATTCGCTCCCAGCGGGGGAATTCGGCCTCGACGCGGGATGCCATGAAGTCACCAGCTGTCTTGCACATGACTTCTATGGCTTCGCAGGCGGCAGTGCCTACGAATGTCTCTTCCTTGAAGTCGAACTCCTCGATTTTGCGTGCGCTGCTGCTTCTGAGAGCGCTGGTAGACGGCGTGGACCGGTCCCTCGTCATGAGAGCGCTCGACGACGTCTCGCTGGATAATGAAGACGGAAAGCTGATCTTTGAAGCAATAGCGGGCCATAGATCATTGATGACTGGCAGGAAGCTGTTCTCGTTCTGCGCCAGGGCTGGGAAGCCTTGAATTAGGACGGAGAGTAAGGAGCGACGAAGGTAGGGCGAAGGAGAAGTCAGATGCGAGGGTATCGACTTGACAATGTGTAGAAGGATCGTGTGTGATTTACTGAGCGGCTTCTCCTCATCCTCCGGCTCTCGAGGAGGGGGAAGTGGTTCCTCGGATTCATCCGCGTTCAAGATGTCAGAGAGGTTGTCAGCGTCCAAGCTCGCGACTTTCTCACTCTCTGATTTCCAGGGTCGTTTCGGATGTGACACTCTTTCTTCATCGTCTTCCACGTCTTCATCCATATACTTGGCTCGCTTTGTTCTACGGGCAGCCAAATCCTCTGCCAGGGTGGATACCAGCAGCCTCTGATACTGCCGCTTGCGATGGTCGACGGCTGTGGCCTCCCCATTGGTAATTGCGAGGAGTGACGGGGTCTTTGTGCCTTCCTCGACGATGGCAGCCAGGGTCTTGAACATTGTTTCCACAAGTTTGGGGTATCCATGGTACATATCCAGAATGCCAAACATTGAGTCAACCAAGTCATCCAAATAGGGAATCAATCGAGCACCACACAGTTTTACCATCATGAAGAGGACTTGCGGCGGGTAAGGTGAGACATCAAAGGTATTCAGTTTCAATGCCACTGAGTTCACGAGATAGTCGACGTTTTCAATAATCATGGTGCTGGTATCCTCGTACCTGCAAGAGCTGGTGAGTATGTCAAGGCATACCATAGCATGCCTCTGGAGATTAGAGTTATTTGATGCGAGCAACTGGAGAACAGGATATAGCGCATCCATCAGCTCCGGGCGAAATGCCTCTCCGAGTTGCTGAGCTTGGAGAGCAACCGCTTCCAGTGCGAGAGCAGAAATTCGCCAATCCCTGGAGGTCTCCGACAGTGGTTGGTCTAGAAGAGGCAACGAGTAATAATATAGCTCTTCGATCATGGCCCTACTGCTTAGACTGTGGACCGATATTTCTATGTGATCTAAAGATATGAAATCGTCGAGGATGCCCGTGAGCTGCGAACCAGTTTTCAAAAAGTTCAGGGCTAACCAGAACGGAGCCACCACTGCGTCTCCAGAGGCACGGTGCACTTGACCAAGGATGGACCGCGTAATCTCACTTCCAGACTCGGAGCTATTGAGACGAACGATCATCGATTGGAGATCCTTGAGAGTCTGTTGCTGGCTGCGGTGGCCCAGAAGTACAGAGGAAAAGGCCAATGACTGATTGTCTCGATGCAGCACGTCCAGGTTTAGGTTCTCAACCATGTCTTGATTTACCGGCTGCGGATTCCTGGAGGCTTGGTTGACAGCAGCAGCAACACTATCGCACAAGCCTGATGCGAGAGCACTCGTGAGGATATCAGATCCCGACTGCACCTGAGAAAGTACCTGGAAGGCTGTTGATATCTGCTTGATTCCCCATTGCTTTGCTGTCTCATCATTGCCTTGCATAGTCCTTGGAAAGGCAGTGACCCAGGTATGAAGCGAGTCCTTGAGAGTATCCAATACAACAGGATATGTGGTAGCAAGATGCTTCAGAGTAGTGTAGGCGTGATTGGGTGTTTGATCTTCTGATATGGACAGGATGACAATCGTTTCTACCATGAGAGATATCGAATCGTGAAGCGTAGCCGAACAGTCCTCTATGACCATTGAGCAGAGGTCCAAAAGCGCAGCCTGCACCTCCTGCCGTTCATGACGTCTTATCTGAATTACGTTTGCAAGAGCCAGCCTAATCTGCGTAGTTGTTGCTTTCAACCAAGATCCATCCAGGACAACCCTGTCGTCCGCTTGCTGGTTGTCCGCTTGCTGGGTTTGATTCGACTCTTCCGTGACCGAACTCGTGACTTGGTCGTTCAAAACGTTTCGGAGTAAATTAGTAAGGATCTGTAGACATATCGAGAGTACCCTGAAAGAGCGGCGTATCTGAGTGGTCGGTTTCAAGACCTTCGTCAGAGCCGAAACCGTCCGCGGCATGATACTCGCTAAAACTACCCGATCGGTGACACGATCGAACAGAGCTCGAAGTGCCTCTGCAGCAGCCACACAGGATTCGTCCGACGGCCCATCCGAAACACCTTCGAGGAGAATGTACACAGCCTGGTCGACGATAGTGGCTGTACCAATCTCATGATAGATCGTTTGCTTTGCCACTGGCCCTTCTAGAACACTAAATATAGCCGCGAAGCAATTGAAGCAGGCGATACCGAGCTCCACGGGCTGCGAATGTAAAGACTGACCACCACTGGCTTTATTCGGCGCACCGCCCACGATCAGGGTGAGCAGTATTATGAGCTGCTTGCCCAGCTGAGGGGACAGGTGCCGGCGCCATCCTTTCGCAATCAGAATCCGTAGGCAATTCACAGCCAGTTCCAATGTCCGCGCGGGAAGGCTCTGGGTTTCGTTGAAGATATGTGAGAGAGGGAAAAAGGCGTATTCCGCTAGCTTCTCGTCCAGAGCATCTTTATCGGCGAGTTGGGTGAGGACGTTGTAGACCGGGCTGAGGGCCTGGAAAACATCGTTGGGGGTTTTCTGACGTCCACGGAAGCCAAGACCGACTGAGCTCAGCTCGACACAGGGAGCACGCAGCTATAAAAAGGGATAAGCATTCTACTATGTATCAACCTAAAGGTTGGTTACCTTTTTAAAGGACTCCTGCCGCAGGGTCTCCATCAGGCCCAGCTACAGCTCGCAGGCCGATCGACAAAGGTTGAATAGTGTCTAAGCCATCCAGTCCGTCGCAGTATATATAGAAGAGACAGGTCATATAAAGTCGACTGCTCCTCATGCAACCGATAACTAGAGAAAATCAAGGGAGTTGCTAAGCTGTGCGAATTAATGTATGCTTCTCGTACGGTCGTACCTCTTGTTTCTTTGCTTCTCCGCCTTCTGCCCGCATTTTCTGCCGCCCATTCACAGGCGGTGTGTATGAATCTGGTTTGCATTGTTTGCGTCATAGCATGATGAACAGATGAAGCATCGAGTCAATTAACAGGCATGCATAGCAGAGAATCCGAGCCCTCGAGTTATTTTACACGATGCGATAATTGTAGTCATTTGCAATCATCTTCTGACCATTTGAAACTCTCCAATAACGATGTAAGCTTCGTGGTGTTGCACTACTGAGGCATCATGTCTGATCACGTGATTAGTACTAGTCTCGCGTCACTACACGTCGCGTTCCCACGAAAGGCTGCCTGCTGCCGGCAGAGGTTGCTGCCTTAATTGTACAATCGAGACCTCAAGACATACTGGGGTCTATTTAATGACCATTGAGCCCTTGATTGTATGTTATTTTGCTTTTGAAATTACCTTGATGTCAAATTGTACAAGTCTTTGAAAGTGTCGCTGCGACACCTATGACCAGTCTCCGCATCTCCGCATCCATTGCGCCTGTATCGCATTATAGCCGTGGACCTGTCGCCTTTACTGCAAAAGCTAGAAATTCATATCGCACTTTACTGCGGACATTTACTGGTTACAGCAGACCCCTGTTCCTGTCTGGGGTCACTTGTCCGCTCATTTCCACCACTTATCGCTCTTTGGCCATCATTACGCTCCCTACAATGGCAGATTCTAAGGGTAGGAAACAAGCTACGTTGGGGTATGTTCGAGATCCTCAATTGACCCTTGGGTGCGTGGTTTAGATGGACAGATCACTCCGCATGGCGAATTCTTACGCAACTTGATTGTGCTGACGAATATGGTCTGCACCATACAGGCGATTCTTCGGCTCTAATGCAGAGGGGCCGAAGGCCGCACCTAAAAAGCAAACAACTTTGTCATTCTCGAACAAGAAAGACAAGAAGAGCGATGTTGCCGACGAACAAGCGAGAATTGAGGAACCTTCAACTATCACTGAAGCGAAGTCAGAGCCGACAAATGGCGAAGATGTGAAAATGGAGGGTTTGCTGGAGACGGAGGTGGCCCATACGAACGGTTCTCCAGGCTCCAAGTCTCTTAAACGAGAAAAGAGCAGCGATGAGGAAAGTGACTCGGATGTTCAACCAGTACAGAAAAGACGCCGGAAGAGCTCACGAGGGGCAGAAGCGGCTCCTGCCGTACGGGAAAAGACGCCGTCACCAAAGAGGTCTAAAATTCGCAAGGCCGAGGCCAAGGAAAGCTCGCCACCTGCCATCGTGAAGAAGGCATCCGGCGAGGAAACACCAGAGAAAGAAACGGAGCCTTCGGAAGAGGAAGAGGTCGCGTCTGCTAGCGAGGAGGAAGAAGAAGACGAGAAGCCCGAAGTGATGAAGAAGACAATGGAAAAGGTGCAGGCCACATTAAAAGCGACCGGCACGGAACCGTATCCTGACTGGAAACCTGGTGAACCGGTTCCCTACGCAGCTCTTTGCACCACCTTTTCTCTCATCGAGATGACCACGAAGCGACTGATCATTCTGGCCCATTGCTCTCTCTTCCTGCGCCAAGTCCTCCGCTTGACGCCACAAGACCTTCTCCCGACGGTTCAACTGATGATTAACAAATTAGCCGCAGACTATGCCGGTATAGAGTTGGGTATTGGCGAATCGTTCATCATGAAGGCAATCGGCGAAAGTACAGGGCGTAGTTTGGCTGTGATAAAAGCAGATCAACATGAGATTGGCGATTTGGGCTTGGTAGCTGCCAAGAGTCGATCAAACCAGCCGACCATGTTCAAACCGAAGCCCTTGACCGTCCGAGGGGTGCATGAAGGTCTGATCGCTATTGCGAAGATCCAGGGCCAGGGATCTCAAGATAAGAAGATCTCCGCGATCAAGAAGCTTCTGTCCGCGGCCGATGCCGCAACGGCAGGTAAAGGTGGCAAGGGCGTCGACATTACCAAGGATAAAGGAGGCGCCAGCGAAGCCAAGTTCATCGTCCGATTTCTGGAGGGCAAGTTGAGACTTGGCCTGGCAGAAAAGACGGTCCTCGTGGCTCTTGCTCAAGCGGTGGTGGCCCATGAGGCTGCGGTCAGAGGCGAAAAGACACCTTCTCCCGAGAAGATGGCGCAGGGCGAAGCTGTTCTCAAGACGGTATACAGTGAGCTACCTGCTTACGAAGTCATCATCCCTGCAATGCTCGAGCATGGCCTGTTCAACTTACCCAAGGTTTGCAAGCTACAACCGGGAATTCCCATCAAACCCATGCTTGCCAAACCTACAAAGTCTATCACCGAGGTGCTGAACCGATTCGAAGGAAAGGACTTCACCTGCGAGTACAAGTATGATGGCGAGCGAGCTCAGATCCACTACGTTGCGCCCGATGTGGTTCACCACTACCCCGGGGCAAAAGCTACCCTGCAAAAGGATTCCAAGGGTCTCAGTGCGATTTTCTCACGAAACTCGGAAGACTTGTCCAAGAAGTATCCTGACGTGCTGGCCAAACTCGAGACTTGGGTCAAGGACGGAGTGAAGAGCTTTGTCTTGGACTGTGAGACGGTGGCTTGGGACACAGTGAACAAGAAGGTTTTACCATTCCAACAGCTCATGACCCGTAAGCGGAAGGATGTCAAAGCAGAGGATGTCAAGGTCAAAGTGTGCATTTTTGCATTTGATCTTTTGTTCTTGAATGGCGAGGTGAGCTTCCCCGTAGCCTACTCGTACTAATCTTCAAGACTGACTCGTGGTTAGCCTACTGTCAAGAAGACGTTGCGCGAGCGTCGCGAGCTTCTGCACAAGTCGTTCGAGGTTGTTGAAGGCGAATTTCAATTCGCTCAGCATGGCGATACGAATGATCTGGAAGAAATCCAGAATCTGCTGGACGAGAGTGTCAAGGCGTCATGTGAAGGGCTGATGGTGAAGATGTTGGATACAGAAGAGAGTGGCTACGAACCCAGTAAACGAAGTCGGAATTGGCTAAAGGTATGCCTCGTTACGCCTACTTCTATCCAGATAAGGACCCAGCTGACATCTATCAGGTCAAGAAGGATTACCTCGCAGGCGTTGGAGACTCCCTTGACCTCGTGGTGCTTGGTGCTTACCATGGCCGGGGCAAGCGAACCTCTGTCTACGGAGCTTTCCTACTGGCTGCGTACAATTCAAGCACACAAACTTACGAAACGATCTGCAACATTGGCACAGGGTTCTCAGAAGCGCTTCTGGAAGAGCTCTATAAAGAACTCTCGCCTTTAACGATAGACCGGCCCAAACCGTTCTACTCGCATTCCAACGTTCCCAAGGATCAGCCCGACGTGTGGTTTGAACCACGGTTGGTCTGGGAGGTGAAGACAGCGGATCTCACCCTGAGTCCTCGATATAAGGCTGCCGCCGATGAATTCGTGGGAACCACGGGCGGTGGTAAGGGAGTTTCCCTTCGCTTTCCACGATTCATCAAATCACGCGACGACAAGAAGCCTGAGCAGGCGACGACAACGAGAGCAGTGGCAGAGATGTATCGCAAGCAAGAGGCCGTCCTGAAAGAAAACACCGGCAAAGGAGGTGTGGATGATGACTTTGAATATTGAACGGAGCCTGTATCTCTTTGCTGTAGGATAGATGGTCGCTTGACTGCATGTTGGCATGGATGCCTGTCCGAATTGAAGTAGCCATTAGTGGCATTATTGCATAATGCTCAATTATTTCGTAATCCGCTGAGCTCCTCTGTACAGCAACCGCGTATAGCTATCTTCTCACTGTCTCACTCCATGCGAAAGTAGCCAATGGCCAGCAGCCTAAAAGTCCGATGTTATCAGTGGTAGATAGGTAGGTACCGGCAGAAATGAGGCCGAGCGTGGCTGGTCATCATCAAAATGTCTTGGCGAGTGGGCTCCCGTCGGACTTGCTTCCCTCTCTGTTATGATTCTATTCCCATCGACTCCATCAACCAACCATCGTCAGAGACTGCCTATCTCGATATCCACCTTGGGGAAACCAAGACCATCAAGACCGAGGCATCCTCTTCGATCATTATACTACTGGTCCAATCAATGTCTCAAGTCGCAGGGACAAAGAGCCAAGGAACCCACAACTGGTGCTAGCTCGGGTTGGTCTCCCCGTCAATAAGACGGGAACTCAGCCGGTTATTCAATATTGACGATATTGCACTAATGTCATCATGGAATGGCTATCATCGGCAAAGCTAACAGAAGCCCAGCCTACTAGTTGCTGACATCCTGCAGGTTGATGCACAATATCAGGACCTTTGTCAACAAATGGCGCCATCTCGTGTCCAAATGCTTCGAGATGCTTGGCATTGTAACCCAAGACTGTGGGGACCGAGACAGCGTCCAAGACGGCCCTGAGTTCCTGCACTCTCCGCCCTCGTCGAGCAGGCTAAGCTGTCCGAGGCCCATTCATGGCGTGGCGAATGGGTTCCATACGAGCGTCCATGGATGTAATGTGTTTATCATTGCTGAGAGCAGTTTAGTGGTGATAATAGCCTCTACCCTTATCAGGCAGGTCCTCAGGGATCATGGCCAAAGGGACATGGATGCCGCATGGCCAATGCTGGGGGAAATTAATGGTCTTTAATTTGTCGATGACTGATTTTGATTACAGCTTATTATTATTATGATTGTCCGACGCAGGGCAAAGTGCGGAGGTGGCCGGGGCAAGCAAGGGAAATACATAAATTGCTCATTGTCAGCACCCCAGCTGGGATTCTGGTCCATCTCTCAAGAAAAGATTTCTTTGTTGATCGAGGTCCGAGTCCATCATGGGAGCTTTACGCTGGCTCTCTATTGCCGCTGCGGCATCGACCGCATTGGCTCTTACGCCTGAGTGAGTGGGATTGTTTACACTTCAAGGCTACAGCTTCGGGCACTTATTCTAACGAACAATTGATTTACAGGCAGTTAATCACTGCTCCACGGAGGTCCGAAGCTATTCCTGACCCATCTGGTGTAAGTCCGAGACTACAATTGCTGGTTGTATAAGGATATCAGCTGACAGGCTCACAGAAAGTTGCGGTCTTTTCGACGTCGCAATACTCCTTTGAGACTCACAAGCGGACCTCGTGGTGGAGTCTGTTGGACCTGAAGACCGGTCAAACCAAGGTTCTCACCAATGACAGCAGTGTGTCCGAGATTGTCTGGTTATCCGACGACTCGATTCTCTACGTCAATGGCACCAATGCAGACATCCCGGGTGGTGTTGAGCTGTGGGTGACTCAGGCTTCGAGCTTTGGCAACGGGTATACACGCCTTTCTGTCATACCATTCCGAAGACTAGCTAACCGCCCTCATAGGTACAAGGCTGCCTCTCTGCCGGCCTCCTTCTCAGGTTTGAAGACCGCCAAGACCAAGTCTGGCGACATTCGTTTCGTAGCATATGGTCAATCGTATCCCAATGGAACCGCGTACAATGAAGAGCTTGCTGCCGCTCCTCTGAGCTCCGCTCGCATCTACGATAGCATCTACGTGCGCCACTGGGATTACTGGCTCAGCACCACCTTCAACGCAGTCTTCTCCGGCACTCTGAAGAAGGGCCATGGACAGAAGGGCTACAGCTTGGACGGTGAGCTCAAGAACCTGGTTTCTCCCGTCAAGAATGCCGAGAGCCCCTACCCACCGTTCGGTGGAGCGTCCGACTATGACCTCTCTGCCGATGGCAAGTGGGTCGCTTTCAAGAGCAAGGCTCCTGAGCTTCCCAAGGCCAATTTCACCACATCCTACATTTACCTCGTCCCCCACGATGCCTCGGAGACAGCCCGGCCCATCAATGGCCCCGACAGCCCCGGCACCCCTAAGGGTATCAAGGGTGATTCAAGCAGCCCTGTGTTCTCCCCCAAAAGCGACAAAATCGCCTACTTCCAGATGAAAGATGAGTCGTATGAATCCGACCGCCGCGTCCTGTACGTCTATTCTCTCAGCTCGAAGAAGACCATTCCCAGTGTCGCAGGAGACTGGGATCGCTCCCCCGACAGCGTCAAGTGGACACCCGATGGCAAGACACTCATCGTCGGAAGCGAAGACCTGGGTCGCACGAGACTCTTTTCTCTTCCTGCCAACGCAAAGGATGACTACAAGCCCAAGAACTTCACCGATGGCGGTTCGGTGTCCGCGTACTACTTCCTGCCCGATTCCAGCCTGCTGGTAACCGGCAGCGCCCTCTGGACGAACTGGAACGTCTACACTGCTAAACCGGAGAAGGGAGTGATCAAGACCCTTGCCTCTGCCAACGAGATCGATCCCGAGCTCAAGGGACTCGGTCCTTCTGACATTAGCGAGTTCTACTACCAGGGCAACTTCACCGACGTAAGTTCATTTTATTAGCTTGTAAACCTCATAACTTACCAAAACACAGATTCACGCGTGGGTCATCTACCCCGAGAACTTCGACAAGTCAAAGAAGTACCCCCTGATCTTCTTCATCCACGGTGGACCCCAAGGCAATTGGGCCGATGGCTGGAGCTCGAGATGGAACCCCAAGGCCTGGGCCGACCAGGGCTATGTCGTGGTTGCCCCCAACCCGACAGGCAGTACTGGATTCGGTCAAGCTCTCACGGACGCCATCCAGAACAACTGGGGTAAGCACCCCTTCTCCTGTGCCCTTCAGACAGAATAATCTAACGAAAAACAGGCGGAGCCCCCTACGACGACCTCGTCAAATGCTGGGAATACATCCACGAGCACCTCGACTTCGTCGACACCGACCACGGCGTCGCCGCAGGCGCCAGCTACGGCGGTTTCATGATCAACTGGATCCAGGGTAGCCCTCTAGGCCGCAAATTCAAGGCCCTGGTCAGCCACGACGGCACCTTCGTCGCGGACGCCAAGGTCTCAACCGACGAGTTGTGGTTCATGCAGCGCGAGGTAGTCCCCACACCCTCCCTTTCTTCCAGGGCAAATTCTAACTGTCTAAAGTTCAACGGAACCTTCTGGGACGCCCGCGAAAACTACCGCCGCTGGGACCCGTCCGCGCCCGAGCGCATCCTCCAGTTCGCGACCCCCATGCTCGTCATCCACAGCGACAAGGACTACAGGCTCCCCGTCGCGGAGGGTCTCTCGCTCTTCAATGTGCTGCAGGAGCGCGGCGTGCCGAGTCGGTTCTTGAACTTCCCGGATGAGAATCATTGGTGAGTTTGCCATCTGCTTATGCGGATATAAAGTTGACTAACGAGTGGGTAGGGTCGTCAACCCCGAGAACAGCCTCGTGTGGCACCAGCAGGCCCTCGGCTGGATTAACAAGTACTCCGGCGTCGAGAAGAGTAACCCCGACGCGGTCAGTCTGGAGGACACCGTTGTCCCGGTTGTGAATTATAACTAGAGTGTAACCTGTGGATACTGTATAGCTTAAATGCAGGTAGCGACTACCACGCACACTTTTGCCCATTCTATTTCCATTCGTCGAGTCCAGTTCGTAATCACGATAATACTACAACAAACAAAGGACGGACGGTTAACTATTTCATGTACAGCATAACGATCGTACACTAGACGAACAAGTCAGACTAGAGTTCTCCGCCGGCAGATCCCCGACCATGACCGAAACCCTGGTCTCCATCGCGAGAGGCAAAGCCGGTCTGACGCACTCTCAGACCAAAGTTGACCAGCATAATAACCACAAGGCCAATGCCGACGACCGTAGGGCCCCATTTCTCATAGTAGACTCGTTTGACGTCGCGGCGCTTGCGGATCTTGTCGACACGCCAGATGTACAGCATGAGACTGTAGACAAGGGCCACGGCGGCGAGGATGGTAAACGCCCACGAGGAGGCGAAGGTGATGTAGTCGTTGCCGAAGTTGAGCAGAGTCGCAGCGATGGTGCCGAGGAGGATGGAGAATTCGAGCCACGAGAGAAAGGTTCGCTCGGCGGCGAAGTACACCTTGGGTTCGACGCGGATGGGGACGTGGATGCCTGTATGCGTGAGACTTGGCGTGACGGAAAAGACTGGGGAAAAAAACTTACGTTTACCCTTTGGAGCGACGAATCGCTTTATTGTCCGTTTGTTGCCCATGACGGCGATGCCGTTCTGTTCAGGTTCGGGCATGCTTGTGGGCCGCGGCCCAGGCGCAATGGCCTTGAGCCCATTGATCAGTGCGTGGCCCATACGATGAATGTAGTACTTGGCCAGCTTCTGATAGAAGTAGCCGCCCCCGATCCTTCGCGCTTCTTCTAGTTCGTCCGAGTCGATGGACTCCTCGTCCGAATCATACAATGGATAATCTTCGTCACCGGGGAGCGGCTGCGCGGCAATGCGCTCTTCGATGTCCAGCGCATTTCCGCCGTCCTCTTCGAACAGGTCACTCTGGCCGACCACTGAGTGCTGTGCATCGCGGGCGGCAGCCCTCGCACGCGCCTGCGACTCGTCCGACTCGTCCTCGTCCGATTCGTCGTCTTCTGGCGTTTCATTGGCGGAAAGAGACGTGCTGGCCAGCGGCCGGGTGATACCGAATCGACGCGTCGCGGGCTTCCTGATGTCTACGTCCATCTGTGGCATCCAGAAGGGAAGAAGGTTGATGCGATCGGGGAACAACGTGGCAGTTCCGTGAATGAACTTGCTGAATTTCGGGACCGCTTCGACCAGGTGACTGGCGGTCAACTCCCGAATCCACTGGGGCGGCTCTTGACCAGCTTGCGTTTGCAGCTTGACTTCCAGCACCGCATAAGGGAATCGCTCGACATCCTCGGGCGGCAATTGCGAGAAAGGCCAGTCAACACCTATGTCCATTCGGCGCCAGTTGTTGCCTGAGCGCTGCCGGCCGTCTAGGTTGTCCTCTCGTGTCATGGTCAGCTCCGTATCCAGAGATATTCGTACTCGAGCATCACCCGGAAGCTGGAAAGCTGTGCGATGGTAGAAGGTCCGGGTAACAGGTTCCAGCCGACGTGTGATGACTCGGTACTGGATTTCGCGCGCCAACTGTTCCAAGTCGGCGATTTCCTGCTCGCTCTTCTTCCCTTCTTTGCGCATCTTCTCAAAAATGCTCTCGACTGTCATGCGACCGGACAGATAGGCGTTGACATGCTTTTCCTTGAGCGAGAAACGCGCCTTGACCGACTTTTCACCAGTCCAGTCTTCACGATGAGTCTTTCGCTCGACGAAGATCTGGTCGCTTTCCATCCCGCCATACCAACGAAGTCGAATGGCCTCTGCTCCTTCAGTCTTTTTCAGACGACCCTCGTATAGCTCCCATGTGTTGGTGTTGTCAAAGTAGATGGACGAGATGGCGGCATCCTTTTCTTCAAACTCCTTGTTGGGATTGAAGACAAGGACAGGAAGGTGCTGTCATAGTTAGTTTGACGAGATACACATAAAGATAAAGCTTTGCATACCTTGAGAATGATCAGCTTCAATTCGGTGATATTGTCGGGATGAACCCAATATTTGGTAGTCTGGCGGACAAAGTTCTGCTGCGAGCCACCAGCTGCAGAATCTCCCTTGACAGGATTACCCTTGGTGCGAACTAGATCGTAGAGCTTTGAAAGCTTCACCACGAATGCATCGTAGTTGTCCTTGAAGAAGGGCTTGGCTTTGAGTCGGGCGGCAAAAACCGGTTTGAGATGCCACCCCGTTTGTTTCTAACACAAAACATTAGCTTCCTGGAAGTTGCACCAAAAAAAGAAATAAAAAGGTGCAGATGCAGAACGTACATCATGCTTCTTGATAATCTTCTGAAACCCTGTATAATTCAATTGCGTAAACTTGGCGAGATCATGCACGTCGGCAATGATGTCACTCAGCATCTGCTCCAGCAGCAGGAAATCCTCATCCGAGGGCGGCGGCTGCGACGCCCGCAGACTCTGCCTCCTCGTATTATTCGCATTATCCAGCCTCGAGATAACGTCCGCCACATCCTTCTCGCTGGCCTGGATGCGCCGCACAATCTCCTCGCTCTTGAGCTTCTGGAAGTTAAACACCTTGTCCAGCTCGCTCTCCAGCAGCGACACGAAGCTCTTCTCGTGGTCTTCTGTCCATGGCTTGCGATCGGGTTTGGGGTTTTCGGGGGTGGGTTCGCTGACGTAGCCGGTCTTGAGGGCTTTCTTGAGGTCTTCGTAGGCGATGTAGTACCAGTAGTACTCCTTGATCATGGACGATCGGAGATGTTCTCCGAACCTTGAGGAAGGCGGGGACGGTCAGTCAATGACGGCCCGAGAGCATTGATCGACGAGTAAGTTACTTACTTCATGATGGGCGAGTAGCACGAATGGCGTTATGCTACTGAGCTAGGTCGACACAAAGAGGTTGGATTGAATTGAGATAGTGGTGGGATGGCGGTTCAGACAGAGCGGGAGATGGTCGGCATTCATTCCCGGACGCAGAAAAAAAAAATCGAAGCAGGAAGAGGGACGAAAAGAAATTGAGCTTCGGTTGATAGGAGATTGATCGATGGGCTACTATAATAATACCCAAGTGATGAACGAATAGCGGGTAGATTGCGAGAGAACTGGGGCGGTGGTATCTAGCTTGACGTCCAGACTCATTTGTTTGGAGAGACCTAACCAGTAACCAGCACAAGCTAGGTCCTAGTCCCAGCCCACCCACAGACTTCTTCCAGCTTCATATGCCAAGCCTGCTTTCCAACTTCCATCGTGGTGTATTGTAACCATGAGGTTCTGGAATTAAAATTATTGAAGTGAATGTACCTGATAAATATCTAATGTATGCTCTGCAGCTCTGCCAGCTTGTGATGATTTTTGCCTGCAGTGGAATCTCGCATACTGCGTCTATTAGTGAATTTCTTCAAGAACCTTGGGATTAATTACGCTTATCTGCTCGGGCAGGTAAGTGGACTGACACCAATTATTGCACGCTATTATAGCTTGATTTATGGGTCAGAGGAAGTCTCGCTCTTGCAGTCTGGCCTCTCACTTTCTTCGGTTGCAACATGTGCGCTGCTAGTGCGGCACCACCCTGGATGATATATTCCCGTATGTGGACTAGTGTCATTACGGCGCGTATGGCCCAATACGGAATCCTTCTTTTCTAATCCAACAGACAGACAAGGCCTTCAATCGCCAGCATCAAATATAAGATAGAGACGTAGACAGTCTACAGCAGACCAACCACTACACCATCCATGTACACTGGGACTGTAAAGGCGCTGATTACATTGATCAGACCTAAAGTGGGAGAGTCAGTATTCATGTGCAAAGTGAACCATATTATGCCACAGTAACAGCCCAAACACCCAACACCATCCATCGCCAGACAACCCCGAGAACATGCAGTGAAATCAAGTAGATACCGGTAGAAATTATTTGTAGAAGACCATTCCATCATGTCTCATCATCCCATCCTTTTTAGAGAGATGGCCTACAGGAGAGCGCCGCCAATGCGCCGGATACTTCTCCGCGCACCCTCGCCGACAACGCTCACAACTCCCTCAGTCTCCAGCGCTCGAACTGCATCCGCAAACTGGCCACCATCGACCTCAGTGCTGCTGTTCTCGCTTAAAACCTTGAAGACCTCGGCCCAGCGGGCCGCACCGCCGCTGCTGCACAGGTCGTCCACCACGGACAGCAAGGCGCGCTTGAGTGCTTCCCGGCTGCGTCTCTCGCTGGCACTAGTGCCCTCCGTCAACAAGCTCATGTCAATCAGACCGGTCCGAGAGTCAGTGGCCGCCTGCTTGATGGCGGAGCGGATCAGGCGCACGGCTTCCTCCACATCATCTGCCGTGACCTCGGGCGACAGCCGCATACGGGCATGCGCTTCCGACAGTCGAATCATGGACTCCAGTTGACGAGTGGTGGCGGTGATACGGCGGTCAGAAGACCGGATGTCATCTCCAAGCTTACGCATGTTCACGTAGGCATCTGACAATGCCTTACCGGCGGCGGGAGTGAGCACTGGATGGACTTTGGTCTTGGCGTAGGTGATGTAGGCAGTAAGGAATTCGATGGGCTGCAGTATATGAACAGTCAGTCGCGATGGCTCGATGGCCCGTCAGGCGGCCGGGAAAAGTACTTACCAAGATCTCTTCCTCGGCAGCATTGTCAGGTCTGTCTTCCAGGTACATATTGACAAGATGCTTAGCGAGCCGACGATCTTCCTGCTCATCCACTCGGTCCAGCACGAGGTATACCAAATCGAATCGGGACAGCAAAGTGGGGGGAAGGTCAATATTCTGGGGAACGGGCAAGTTGGGATTGTACCTGCTACCGATCGGATTGGCGGAGGCCAGGATGCTGGTTCTAGCGTTCAATGTAGTGATAATGCCTGCCTTGGCGATCGACACTGTCTGTTGTTCCATGACTTCGTGCAGGACGGACCGAGTGGATTCGTTCATCTTGTCGAACTCGTCGATGCAACAGATACCGCCGTCTGA